TGTAGATCTTTTTGGAAAGCCAGGCCCCAAGGGTCCAAGTACCTAATCATCATATACTTACCCAAAACGTATACTATAATTACTATTACCCAAATCCCAAGTACCTAATTATTGGGTACATGGACCCTAACCCCTAAACCCTATATACCCCTATATATCCCTACTATATCCCCTTTAAAGGGACTTAATTATTGGGTACATGGACCCTCTGGGTTGGAGATTTCCTTCAAGACACAGGGCAGCGCCCGTGGAGCAAAAACAAAAAGCGGCCTGGGCAGTTCTTTGTGTTGGGTTTAGGGTTTAGGGGTTTAGGGTTTAGGGTTTAGGGTTCAGGGTTTAGGGTTTAGGGTTTAGGGGTTTAGGGTACGCTTTCCATGGGAAAGCTAATGAGCATGCAGAGCAAACAAGCAGAAAGCAACGCGAAGACATGAGAACACGCCTAGAAAAACAAAAATCTTACCACTATACCTTCAGTACTGCCCCCCTCAGTAACAGTTGAACAATAATCATAATATGGTTATATATAGCCCTTAATAGGACCCCTAATATGGACTGTTACTGGGTGGGGGCAGTACCCAAACTATGCCCCATAATGGAGAAAGGCAGCCTTCCCACCCTGATCATGCCCGCAGCGCTCGCAGCGGTGGCGACACTGGGGTATCCCTTGGAGTAAAAGTTTTACTTGGTGTGGACCATCATCCCTATATAATCTCATATGATCCATAAGAAGGGATTCTTATAGGGCCCTTGAATCAATCCTAGGACAGCTTTTGGCCTTTCATCATCGAGCTTTACTACCGGCTTTTCGCCTCTAGCTCGAGGCAATGGGTCGGATAGGCGTTCCGCCATGCTGGCGGACACCCAGGTAGCAGAGAGACCCACCACAGAGGTGGGAGGGTCCTAAAATTAGGGCTGCCTTTTTTTGAGGGTCCCTATAATAAGGATTATAGTGCTTTGGACCTATACTACGGTGGATACTAAGAAACCTGCATGACCCTAAGTACTTTATACCTTGAGAATTATGGTATCATAGTATAATAGGGTCATGCAGGATTTTTAGTATCAACCGTAGGTCTCCCTATCTGGGAAAATTACCAGGTGGGAACAGCTCTGTCGGATGACGTGAACCCGCGAAAGTACGGACTGGCTCTGATGCTTGATGAAGGCACACGCAAGAGCCACAGCATGGCCGAGAATACCCAGTTCGTGACAGGCTTCGGTCCGATTGTCCAGTAGCTTTTTCTGTGTACCTGATAAGAATATAGTCCCCCTTAAGTAGATAAAATATGGCTTTGGGTATTCTATAATAAGATCCCCATACATCCCATATTCTATCTACTTAAGGGGACTATAGATCTAAGTATAGTAGGGAACCGACATGCTGATTTGCAAAGTGGGTTTCCAAGAACTATATAGGGTAAGGACAGTCGCATAATGGGGTCTATGCTAGAACCCCTCTGCATAAAAACTACGATATATTCTCCGAGCAATGCCAAGGTTTCTTCAAAGGCCTGGGAAACCGGGGGTCCTTTGCGCAGCTCGTAACATCCCTGTATTTCATCTATGCGGCCATGGAGGAGGCTTTTGCAGCTCGTTCCCTACAGATAGTGTAATGGTTTTGGGCTCTCTCTTATTTGCCCTTGGTGGGTTGAGGTTCCCTTGCATGAGCATCCAATGCCGGATAATTGGTGCTTTTTCCTTAGGTTACTTTACGGATTCACCAGCTACCACCCATACTAAATCCGTTCAAGTTCCTCCTTAGTTAAGTTTAATTAGGCTTATTTAGGGATATCTAGGGCTAACTACAGGGGAACATAGGGTTGTAGTGTTGGTGGGTTGGTAGTGGAACGGTAAATACCCTCAAACCCACCCCAAACCTTTTCTCATAGATTACCAGGGACCTATAGGAGCGCTCTCCAGATGCCAGCGTTCGGCACTTGGATTTCCCGGAGTTGCGCCGTGTCATGGCGACTCCTGCAGTCCTTTTATGGTTTAGGGCTTAGGGTTTAGGGTCAGGCCTTAGTTGAAGGTTTTTCCATGCTTTGTGTACTTTGTGTGCTAGGGGTTTGTCGGGATCAGCGTTTCCCAAAATTAGAGGGTGCCTTTTCGGGAGTACCTATACTATGGGCAAGACGGCTTCAACAACTGTCAATATGATGGTTCTAGATTCACTGTATAAGACATTGCGCTTGAATCCTAAAGACACGAGGCGCCTGTAATACCCCATCCATC